CTACTTTGGTCATGTTGTCAGAAGTGACCATTCCCTGGAGAAGGATGTCATGCTTGGTAAGGTGGAGGGTCGACGAAAGAGGGGAAGGCCTTCAACGAGATGGATTGACACAAAGGCTGCAACGATGGGCTCAAGTATAGCAAGGATCATGGAGCTGGCGTGAGATACGGTGGTGTTTCATTCTGCTGTGCATAGGGTCACTATAAGTAGGAAACGACTTGATGGCACCTAACAACAGCACAACAACATTGTGCAAAGCCAAAAGAAACAAAATAAGTAAATAGGCCAAATCATTGATGTATTAATAATGGGTAATTATGGAAGAATGGCTTTACGGTCATTTTCATTTTCTGAATTTTGTAAAATGCACACACAGTAATTACTAAGTAACTGAAGAAAATATGTTAAACCTACTTGAAGAATTGTGCTGGAGTAGTGAAGAAGCAAAACAGGAAATAGGCTTAAAACATGGAAGAGTTGTCATTTAGGTAGATTATATGCTCTTTATAATCCCAAAATGTAAGGTTAGAACTGTAAAGTTAAAAATAAAAAGTTTACTATGGCAAAAGAGGGTCTTGCAAAATGGGGAAACAAGAGTCAAGAAGTACTTGACAAACTGCTCCAAGGAGCTACAGAGTTACAGAGATTAATAAAGGCAAAAACTGCAAGTAAGGGGGTAAACCTGGAATATTTTTGATTGGTTAACATTTACAAAATTGCAGGTCTTGCTTGATTACCTCTGCAAGTGGTTAATTTTCTCTGTCAGGATGGTTCTAGGTGACAGGATATTGGCTCACTACTGAAACCACCTGTTTTCTGGCATCTAGACATGTGCAGCCTGTGTTAAGTTACTAAGTTACTTTAGCATTAGGAGGGTAAATTCTATTGAAATATAAGAGCAAATAATTTCTTAAAAGAATAGGATGGATAAAAATAATAATGCTAAATATTCTAATGTTCAAGGAAAGAAAGAAGCATTTTGATACAGAAAAGTTAAAACTTTGTCTTTATTTAATAGCAGCTAAAGAATGATGATTTGGAAAATTATAAGTACAGTTGAAGGGGTTATTTTCTTAGAATCAGCTTAGTCACTAAAGTTACGTGATTAACACAGTGTTTAACACCTATACAAATCCAATAATCTTGTCTTGACATCGGCTATTTCTAACCACAAACTTATCTGTGAGTACAAAACCAAAAACAAACCCACAGCCATTGAGTTCATTCTGACTTACAGTGATCCCCATGGGGTTTCCAAGACAGTAAATCTTTACAGAAGTAGATTGCCCAGTCTTGCTTCCATGGAATGGCTGGGGGTTAGTAGTCAAAATGGCTGGTGCTGAGGCACTGTGCTACCAGTTACATAAGTAGAGTAGGTTGGGCAAAATTGCATTTTTCTGCAGAAAATGTTCATATCTAGTTAAAGACACAGTGGAAAATTTTTGCAGAAGTAAGTCTGCATTGTATTACAGAAAACTACAAAATGGAGTCGCGTAGGACAAGGAGGGATTTGGCTTAGGATTTAGCCAGAAGTCTCAGTAATGTTCTCTCAGGACTAATTTGAAAAGTGAGATATATCTAGTGGAAATCAATTTAAGCTCAAATATAGAGAAATTTTGAGAGATCTTCTAAAAGGGAATTTTGAGATACCTCAACACTGAGGGTGTTCAAAAATAGGTTCAACTACCCCTCAGTGGAAAAGTGATAGAAATGATTTTGAGAACTTTTCCAGGTTTCTGGAAAAGACAAGCTTCTGAACCCAGTATGTTATGTTTCTTGCAAAATTGTGCTTTAAAAATCATGTCTACTCATCACATCTTGTCAACTATCAGATCTTCCATAGCTACTTAATTATGACTCTAAATCTTCAGCTTCTACTGCATCTACTCCATTGTCTTTTTTTTTTTTTTTTTAGTGTCTTAGTGGTAATTTGAGAATGATTTCCTTTTTTGATTTACTAAGTAATAGGAACCACGGCATGTTGTTGCTGTTGTTGTATGCCATCAAGTTGATTTCAACTCATAGTGACCCTGTAGGACAGAGTAGAACTGACCATAGGGTCTCCAGGGTTATAATCTTTATGGAAGACTGCCACGTTCAAACCACCAGCCTTTTGGTTAGCAGTCAAGCACTTAAACACTGTGCACATATATGTTTAATAAGTTAAAGTATCGACTTGGTAGAGTTATTAACATATAGACAGTCTTTTGATATTCTTACCTAAAAGCCACTCCTCGGAAGGAAGACTGGGCAGTCTACTTCCATAGAGATACCACCTCAGAAACCCAAGGAGCATTTCTATGAGTGAGAATCAACTTGATGGCAGTGAGTTTTTATTATTATTATTATTACTATTATTATTATTATATCAAAATTATGTCTACTCAAGAACTAAACAGAGTGGAGAGCAATTTATTATAGAAATTTACTAGTTTTTTTCTTTTCATTTCTCCCACATTTCTGATTTAACAGAGGCATAGAAACTATAATAAGTATTATGGTACATAATGGTCTATATTTTTCCCACTGCTCAGAGGAAATCAGTTTAGAATTTAAAATATATATAAATATGAAAGTAATCTGTTTTGGTGCTAGCTTTTTCTCTTTCTCTCCTTCTTCATCTAGGTTTGAAATTTTGTTTACTGATCTTGAAGAGAGACAGAAAGAGCTGGGCATTGCTAGCTTTGGTGCCTCTATCACGACCATGGAAGAAGTCTTTCTTAGGTAAGTAATGGTGCATGGGGAGAAGGAAAAAACCCTGGAAGGCAAAGACAATATCTCTCTTCCTTGGTAAGCTCACCATACTTTCAGATTTCACACTGTAGAAAATTTAAGGGGAAATGACTTTAACATAAATTTTTCAAAAAATTATTCCCATCATTTCATAAAAGAATGGATATTTTAACTTAACCAAAGTAGGAATTAGATGTTAGTCTTTAATTTTATTTACTTCATCTTAATGACATACAATTACATTGCCCTTGTTTTTTGCACTTTAGATAAACTCAGACTTCCAGAAGTTCTCTGACTGGTTTTTCAAAACCACTGGTCCACCATAGTTACCATGTTGTACCCTTATAATGCTCCTGCCAGCCAATGAGAAAATCAAGTAGCCTTCTGAATTGACTCAGATTCTCCAAACAAAATATATTGGAATTGTGTTGAAATGAAATTCTTTTTTTTTTTTTTGGGGGGGGGATACAGGGTCAATAATATGGCAGATTCACGAGTTGTCTCACATATCCAGAAACCCTTCCTTCACGAGAATCAGAATGTGAATGCTTCCACATATTTTGAGACAGTAGATTGTTCCACCACTACTGAAAACTCTACTATTAGATTCAATACTGGGGTAAGTGCCTTCACTAAGGAACCTGATGGGTATGTGGTCAAGGGACAAGGAGTACATTTTATTTTAATACCTGAAGTGAAAGAACTATGGCGTTCTCAGTGGTAGCAGACCCAACCATATGTGGGACAGTCTGTTCCACATCTACTTTCCTAATGCACAAGTGATGAGTTCTAGAGAAAGCTATTCTTACTCTCAACTACTATTATTCCTCAAGGTTCCTTTTTTCTGTTTTATAATTTTTTTTTCAATTGATGCAAAAAGGAAAAGGAGGCCACATGTTCTGAGCTCCTCTAATTCCACAAGAGGAAGACAGAATCACCATCAATAGCCCAAGGCCTATTCCTGCCAGGCCAGACATGCTGCCTCCCTCCAGCTCTTTCTCCAACTGTTCCTCCCAAAGCACACACCACCTCTATCCTGGGTTCGATAATTCGCTGCAGTGGCCACACAGAACTCACAGATTATGAGGTTTATTAGGGAAGCACCAGGTTACAAGTCAAGTTCAGCAAAAACGCTGTCTTTCTCTCAACCCACCATCCCTTAGCCAACAGTCTCTCCCCCAGCAATGCATGTCCCTCAGTGTCTTACTTAACAATGCATGTTTCTTGTGTCTCTTTCCCAGCAGCACGTGTCTCTTTCAGGGGTGGGTGTCTCTTTCAGCAGCACATCTTCCTCAACCAGCAGTCAGAGAGAGTTCTGCCTCTAGGAGGCCTCCTTTTGAGCCTGGCAGAGTGGCCAAACTAGCCAATCATAGCATCAGAGCTCTAAGCACCTGAGAGAGAGTGGGAACCTCCCAGAACATTGTTTTGTGCCACTCCCAACAGAAATACTCCAGGTGGATGACTTTAGCGATCAGGATCTCCTCAGTTGCTAATAGCAATTCCCACCTTGGAGTTTACAAAGACTTGTGGGTAGAAAAGCCACAATAAGTAATTTACTACACCACAATTGATAAAGAAAGTTGTTAGGTCATTGAAGCTTGATTAAAGGCACTAGTGAACCTGATTTTTAATAATCAAGAATGTCTAATATTTTAAATACCTTATGTTTTGTAAAGGCAATTGTTACTACCTATGGGGTCATTTTCAAAACAGTATTATAATAACCAGTCATTTCTTTCATTGTCTTTCTAAGCATATATTCCCCCTATAAATCACTCTGGTTTTCTTGGTTGAGAGTCTAAAATACAGGATGCATTTCTTCCAAATATCCCTATGAACATTAACTGAGAATAGGATGTACCAACTGAGATTTAGAACCAAACAGAACTTAATTAGAATTTTCCCCCAGCATTTATTAGCTATGGAACTTTGGGCTTTAATAACATCTACAAAAACATTAATTTTTGCTTATTTCTAATTATTAAAAATGTGATTTTCCCATATATATACGTTGCTATTTTTCCCTGTTTACCCTTTTCACAAAAGATGTAGACAGAAGATTTGGTAGGCCACCTTAGAAAGGTTTCTGATCCCTGAATTAGCATATTCTTATATTTTGAAGTTATTTCCAATGGCCCATCTTTGCAAAAGGTATAAAGACCTCTCTGGCCTCATTTTTGGACAGTATTCTCCCTCTTTCAGAGGACATGCATTAATCCGAGTAAGGACATTTTCTCTCACTTTGAACTGGGTCAAATATCTTGAAATTTGGCAATGAAAACTGTATGTGTTAAGTCTCTCTCAAAAATTTATTGAAACATTTCCTTTAGGATATGAAAAATATCACAAGAGAAAGGGATGTGATTTTGTTCTTCTGGCCATAGAGAATAAAATCCTATTAATGAGGAAAATCATCCTGTTGAAAATTTAAGTGTTTTATATTAAAATCCAGGCCTTAAACATTTTATGTAATATCTCACAGCAAGTGTCTGCACACTTTTTCTGTAAAGGGACAGACAGTAAACAGTTTAGGCTGTGGGACCATATGGTCCCCCACAGTCATTCAGTTCTTTCACTGTAGTGTGTGCAGTTATGTTTGCTTTTGTTGTTAAGTACCATCGAGTCACCTCCAACTTATAGAGACCTATGTACAACAGAATAAAACACTGCCCAGTTTGCACCATCCTCACAATCCTTGCTGTGTGAGCCCATCATTGCAGCCACTGTCAATCCATCTTGTTGAGAGTCTTCCCCTTTTTCACTGACCCTCAATTTTACTAATCATGATATCCTTCTCCAGAGACTGGTCCTTTCTGACAACATGACCAAAGTAGTTGAATCAAGGTCTGGACATTCTCACTTCCAGGGAGCATTCTGGCTGCACTTCTTCCAAGACAGATTTGTTCATTCTTCTGGAAGTCCGTGGTATTTCCAGTATTTTTCACCTACATGATAATTGAAAGGCATCAACTCTTCTTTGGTCTTCCTTATTCATAGTCCAGCTTTCACATGAAAATGAGGCAATTGGGAGCTCTGGTAGCATAGTGGCTAAGGCACTTGACTGCTAACCAGAAGGCTGGCGGTTCAAACCCACCAGCCACTCCTCGGAAGGAAGGTTGGGCAATCCTATTTCCGTAGTGATACTGCCTCGGAAACCCAAGGAGGGGTCGCTATGAGTCGGGGCTGACTCGACGGCAAACAGCAACAACAATGAGGCAATTGAAAATTCCATGGCTTGAGGCAGGTGAACCATAGACTTCAAAGTGACATCTCTGCTTCTTAACACTTTAAAGAGGTCTTTTGCATCACATTTGCTCAATGCCATATGATGTCTGAATTCCTGACTGCTGCTTCCATGGGTGTTGGTTGTGGATCCAAGTAAAATGAAATCCCTGACTTCAATCTTTTCTCCATTTAGCATAATGTTGCTTATTGGTCCAGTCATGAAGATTTTTGTTTTCTTTATTTTGAGAAGTAATCTTCATCTTTGGCTTTAGTGGTTAGTGTATAAATTTGAATAATAGTAGTATTAACTGGTCTTCCTTGTAGACATATAGATATTATGCTCTCATGGACAACACTGTACTTCAAGATAGATATTGAAATGTTCTTTTCGAAAATGAATGCCACTCTATTCCTCTTCAACTTATCATTCCAGGCATAGTAGACCACATGGTTGTCTGATTCAAAATGGCCAATACCAGTCCATTTAAGCTCACTAATGCCTAGGATATAGATCTTTAGGCATTCCATTTCATTTTTGACAACTTCTAATTTTCCTACATTCATACTTCATACATTCCACATTACAATTATAAATGGATGTTTGCAGCTGTTTCTTCACATTTTGAGTCATGCCCCCATCAGCAAATGAAGGTCCCACAAGCTTTAGTCCATCCATATCAAAAGGAGGAGGAAGCTCTTCCACAGTTGTATTTTGAGTGCCTTCCAACCTGAGCTCTGGTAGCATAGTGCCTAAGGCATTTGATTACTAACCAGAAAGCTGGTGGTTCAAACCCATCAGTCACTCCTCAGAAGAAAGGTTGGACAATCTACTTCCATAGTGATACCGCCTCAGAAACCCAAGGAGGGGTCACTATGAGTTGGGTTTGACTCAAGGGCAGTGAGTTTGTTTGTTTTTTCTTTGTTTTCCAACCTGAGCAGCTTATCTTCCAGCACTGTATCAGACCATGTTTCCTGGCTATTTATACAATTTTCCAATAGTATATCAGATCATGTTTCATTGCTATTCATAAGGTTTTTGGTGGCCTATTTTTTCAGATGTATATGGTCCCATCATTATTCTCAGTCTGTCTTAGTCTGGAAGTTCTGCTGAAACCTGTCCACCATGGGTGACCCTGCTGGTATTTTCAATACCATGGCATAGCCTCTATCCTCACAGCAAGCCCCCACATTATGACAAACTGACAGATGAGTGGTGGTGGTCAGACAACCATAGATAATCCAGAAATGAATGGGCATACCTATGTTCCAATAAAACTTTGTTTACAAAAACAAGCCATAGTTTGCTGACCCCTCCCTTATACAAAGGAGCTCTGGTGGCACAATGCCTAGGGCATTTGACAACTAACCAAAAGATTGACAGTTCAAACCCACCAACCACTCTGTGGAAGGAAGACTGGGCAATCTACTTCCATAAAGATTTACTGCCTTGGAAACCCAAAGTGGGTCACTATGAGTCAGAATTGACTTGATGGCATTGGGTTTGGTTTGGTTTTGAACCTTATATAAACAAAAAACTGATTATAGTATCATCATGTAGGTTCATTATGCTTAAATTGCATCCCGAATTTTTAGTTATATAAACTTTATATGTCTATTTTGATAAAATGTCAAATATTCATCTTAATGAATTTCAATAGTAATGACCTCTTTGGGTCTATGACTATTGTAATGTTTCTCTCTTCTTTCTTTAGTGTTCCCTCTACTCCCAGCAGTTCCGAGCCATGTTCATAAAGAGGGCGCTGTTCAGCTGGCGCAACTGGAAGCTGGTGTTGCTACAGATACTGGGACTTCTAGGTGTCATTACTTTTCTCTTAAAAGTTGATGACTTTTCAAAGGAGAATGATGAGATTACCAGAAATATGAATTTGGGTCAATATGGTCAAACTATTGTGCCTTTATCCATTTCTGGGAATTCTAATTTGACTGTGAATCTTGTAAAACACCTTGAGAACATGCTAAGGTCTGAAAATCAAATACTTCGGAAGGTGCAAGGTAGGACTTATTTGAAAAACAAACAACAAAAAAAGAGACTGCTCTCATATGGAGACCTATTTCTGTCACATGCATAGGATCTGAACTGTAGTCTGTAACTGCTCCTTTCTTTTCCTGCTAGTCTCCAATCTCAGAGAAGCAGCTAAATTGGAGACAATATAACTACTCTTAAGTCTGTAGACTGGTTATGCCTAAAACAGGAATACAGAAGGATAGAGGGAGCTCTGGTAGCATAGTGGCTAAGGCACTTGACTGCTAACCAGAAGGCTGGTGGTTCAAACCCACCAGCCACACCTCGGAAGGAAGATGGGGCAATCTACTTCTGCAGTGATGCTGCCTTGGAAACCCAAGGAGGGGTCGCTGTGAGTTGGCTCCGACTTGATGGCACATGACAACAACAACAACAATAAGGAACTACCTGTCAGAATATAATTTAAAAGTAGTTACAATAATAGTTTAAGGAGCTCTGCTGGCACAGTGTCTAAAGCATTTGACTGCTAACCATGGAGGAAGACTGGGCAATCTACTTCCATAAAGATTTTCTGCCACAGAAACCCAATGGGGGTCGCTATGAGTTAGAATCGATTCGATGGCAGTAGATTTGGTTTGGGTTTGGTTTCTAATAATATTTTATATGTACTGAGCATTTATGTTTGACAAAGACCCTGCTAAACTAACTTTTCTTGCATGTCATTAAATCTGAATAATTGCCATATTTAGTAGGTATTTTTATTATTCTCAATTAAACGAGGAGCATTGATGTTTGAGGAAGTCCAGTAATTTGCTCCAAATCAGATATCTGGTAAGTACAGGAGTCTGTGGGTAGTGCAGCTGGTTAATGCCCTTGGCTGCTAATAAAAGACTGACAGTTCAAGTCCACCCAGAGGCCAGTCAGAAGAAAGGCCTGGAGATCTACTTCCCAAAATTCAGGCATCAAATACCCTGACACACAAGGGTCACCATGAGTCAGAATAGACTCCACAGCAATTGGCTGAAGAAAATACAGGGATTGGGATTCAACCTGATCTGGCTAGAATCTGTAAACTTAACCACCTCTCTAAGCATAAAGTGTGTTCTCTTTCAAGTGTAATCATCTCCTTTAACTGCTGTCTGACGGACAGTGTTCCTTTGCCTGGAAATGTTGATTGTTCCATATCATCATTATCCTAGTTCTGTAGCCTACAAATAATAGAAAACTGACTACAATTAATTGTCCCTATTTCTTCTTCCCTGCAAGGATAACACGTAAACATTATTAACCAAGGTCACACAGTCAAGAGAGGGAAAATGAAGTGTTCTGATTTGTAAAAAGATTATTTTTCTGTTATAGCATACTGCTTACATTTTAAAATGTAAAATGATTAACTGAATATGCTTTATTGATATATCAATAGTGAGACTGAAAATACAGCAGTGTAATAGATCCATTGATATTATATGTTTTCAATTAAATGTTATCTTTCTTTTCATTAGCAAAAAAAAAAGTATTTAGGTATAGAAAGATATACTTTAGGGTCAGTCAATCCAACTTTGTTTTAAGAAAACTATAGGCAATTAAAAGAAAAAAAAACACAACTTTTTATTGTGATTTGGGGAAAAGTTTACAGAGGCAATTGATCTTCCATTCATTATTCATACACATTTTGTTTTGTGACATTGATTGCAATCCCCACAGTGTAACAGCATTCTTCCCACTTCCTGTCTGTGGTTACCATTTCCCATTGTCCATTGTAATATAGGTTAAGTTATAAGATATGGACAGAAGAGTTTGGAATTTAGTGATGGAAGAGAGTGCTTGAGAAAAATAGGAACATTTGGTGTAACAACTGTTGAGAAAATGAAATGGAAGAGAATTAAGTGAAATTATTTGGTTCTACTTCCCCAACATATATTGTAAATAATCTGTATTGTGGATAACTGACCAATACTGTTTCCTCATCCTAGGTGACCTACTGAATTACTTGATGGAAAATAAAGATTGCATTCGCTTATGCATTGTTGCACTGTCCATTGAAGAGAAAGCAAATGAAATAGTATTGACTGTTCTTTTTAACAATGAAGCATACCATTCACCATCTGTATCCCTGGCAGTGTTAGACAACATTCTCTTCATGTCACTTTCTGGTCCTGATGCTTCAATAACAGTCTCCAATAAACCTCAGCCATATCATGACTTTAATGACTTTGTTGAAAAGTATGTTATTCTTTTCATTAGAGCTAGTTTACACTTTCAATGTATTTCTTCCACCTTGATTATATTCATATGATAAAAATAAGTATTGATTGAAATTTTTATTTTTGACTATGTTGATTTGCTGATATATCTTTTGTTGTTGTTGCTCCTTCTTCTGTAGTGCCTCAAATGGTGGCTTTGTGGCCGTAAATGTGCATTTTGGCATGGCGCTTTTGATTAGTGGATTTTGCCTCCTGACAGTGACTGAGAGAGTCACTAAGGTGAAGCATATCCAGCTTGTGACTGGGATCTATGTCTTTATATACTGGTTTTCTGCTCTGCTGTGGGATTTCATCATCTTCTTCATTTCCTGCTGCCTCCTGCTGGTGAGTGTTAGATAAAGTTTCTTGAGGGGTTGTTTTTGTTCTGTACCCCATGGAATATTCCTACTCTTTAACAGTGCCGTAAACCTAACTCTGACAATAAACTATTGTTATCTTAGGAAACCAGCAAAAGTCTCATGGGTAGAAGTTCTGTTCATCAAATTCATCCCTTTGTTAGAAGAAAATAAATTTTCTTGCAGAAGGGAAAGACTTCTCATGGAATAGCTCCCTATCTGTTTGATATCAATTTGTGTTAACCTCCAAAATTGTTCTAAAGTTGCTTACCTGTTACCTCTCTCACTGTTGATTCTTGGCCAGTGTTGTAATATCTTGGTCTTTTGGGGCTATACTGTGGCCAACTTTTCTAGTATCTGTTGTGAGTTCAGAAGAAATTGATGACCGCTATCATGTCCAGAATTTGGAAGAGTCTTTATTCAGCTATAGCGGGGCTGCAGGGAACTAAAGCATTCTCCTCAACTGCAGCAGCGAGCCTGCTTTCAGGCAGGCTGATAAAGCTTAGCACTGCAAGCAGGCGAGCAAGCGCGTTACAGAAGCGATAAATGGCTCGGTTAGCATTATAGGGGTGATAAATTGTCGGTATACTATCAGGGCGAAGGCACACAGTTCAGGGGGAGGGCCCTCAGTTCTGAGAATTACCACTAACAGGGCAAGGACTCTTAATTCTGGGAATTAGCACTAACAGGGCTTTCAGATTAGGAGGGGGTAAGTAGGCTGCTCAGGGGTATTTACAAAAATGGAATTTTAGCAAGGTATTGCAAGTTATAGCAAGACATTACAAAATGGAGTCACAAAAGAGAGTCAACTACTTCAGTATCCTTTGAGTTCTATCAATGTGTTTTAAAAATTTATTTAATCTGCTATCATCAGACACAATGCTGGGACTCAGTATATATTTTATGTGTTTAAATAATCTCTCTCAGTCTTTCTATTAGAGTTTACAACCAAAGGAGATATATATAAGATCACTATTTATTTAACTGGAGTGAAATATACACAACAAAACATACACCAGTTCAACAATTTCTACATGTAATTCAGTGACTTTGATTACGTTCTTCAATATCCTTTGGCAAATTATTCCACCATCGTTAACATAAACCTAAGCAAAATGTCCTCCCCTTTTCTTCCCTCCCATCCTTGGTAACCACTAATAATTTTGGGGTTTTTTGTAGATGAAACCTACTACTGTCAAGTCAGATCTGACTCATAGAGACCCCTCCTTGGGTTTCTCAAGCGGTATCACTATGGAAGTAGATTGCCCGACCTTCCTTCTGAGGAGTGGCTGGTGGGTTTGAACCACTAGCTTTCTGGTTAGCAGTCAAATGCCTTAGGCACTATGCCACCAGAGCTCCCTTTATGTCATATAAGTGAGATGATACAGTATTTGTCCTTTTATGAATGACTTGTTTCACTCAACAAAATGTTTTCTAGGTTCATCTATGTTGTACCATGCTAATATCTCCATTGTATGTATACACCACATTTTTTTTTATCCCATCCTCTGTTGATGGACATTTTGATTGTTTCTACCTTTTGTCTGTTGTGAATAGTGCTGCAGTGAACATTGTGGCACATGTGTCTGTTCACAACACTACTTTCAGGTCTCTTGGATATATACATTATGACTATTTTTAATGTTAAGCTAATGCCCAGGAATCCCTAATGTTGAACTTCATGGGAGGAAATGAACTGGAGAACACATCCTAAGCTGGAGAGCTAAGTAAGGTTTTTTTTTGTTTGTTTCTTATTATTCATCTCAAAATCACATCTATCCAATTTCTATAAATGGGGAATTAGAAATAAGAACAAACATATATGATTATACACCATACTTTTTTCTAGTGAAATATGGCTTTGTGTATATTTCAGAATCTGCCCAATTACATTAAAATTTACTTGCTTTGAAGTGTGTGTGTGTATGTGTGTTGGAGATGTAGAGACATGGTAGAGGATAATGTGTACATGGGAAATCATGAGGTGGTGGGCAGAAGTTTCTTCCTTAATCATAAGTACTTGGATTTTGAATATGAATAAGAACATGGCTCATCTCTTAAGTACTTCACTGTTTAGTAGTGGACACAAGGTAACCATAACAATTATAAAATTACAACACAATATGTTGATTCTTGTCATAAAGGTGTGAAGCACCATTTCTACAATCCAAGCCATTTGTGGACCAGTAAAATTACTACCTACTTTTTCCTTTTTTCCACCTCATCTCCTGAATTTTCTTCTTCAGTTACTTCTATCATTTTCTTCTTCTCTTTATTCCCTTTGTTTTCAAAGTATTTGAGAAAATTTATTTATATATCATGCATTGTAGGTAAGTGTGTGTATGTGTGTGTGTCTATGAATGTGTTTGGCTGTATGATGTGTGTGTATATATATATATATATATATATATATATATGAATGAAGAAAACAGAATCCCAAGGTAGAGAGTTATCAGGAAGTTCTCACTGCATATCTACGTATTGTAATACACAGCACTATAGCCAAGGAACAATGGAAGTGGTAGAAGATAGGTTATTGGTGGTAGTAAGGAGACAGTGATCCCCAAGTTAGAATGAATAATAGAATTTCTATCTCTGTACATCCTCCATCTTCTTACATGTATCACTGTGGCTAAGCAGTTCCATGCCATCTTCTTCTATTCATAAATTACCAGGTAGCATGACAAGAACAGGCCACTTAGGCCACTATCCCTTTGTATACTAACTATATTTGTCACCACAGAGATTTGTGAAGCATATTGGTAACACTCTGGCATGACTATTTTCTCTCCATCATTACCAATCAACTTCTGCAATACACAAACACATTTGAGAGTATTGCTGTCAATTATCTAATTCCTGAATTTTAAAAATAACTTGCATTGTTTTAGCTGCATTCCACAAATTTAATTTGACATATTCAAAATATGTCCTGATTCTGCAAAGATTTTAGGAGGCTACTGTTTAATTACTAAGTAGTTAAGGACATTCTAGTTATCCCTAGAACAGTGTTTTGTTCTGTTGTACACAGGGTCACTCTGAGTCAGTGTCAACTCAATGGCACCTAACAACAACAACAGTTATCCCTACAATTAAAACTTAATTTATTTGTGGTTAGAAGATATACCGTCAAATATCTAGTCATTTGAAAGTCGCTGATGATTCTTAAGATCCAGGAGTTGGTCTATTTGGGTAAATGTTTTATGCACAATTAAAAATAATATATATTCTTATACTATTGGAGTTGGTGTTCTACATATGCCAGTTAGGTGAAACTATAAGGTCATTTCAATAGATGCAGAAAGAACATTTGACAAAAGTTAACATTAATGCTTACTTGTGATTAAATATCTCTAAGCAAACTAGGAATAGAAGACATTTCCTCAATATGATAAAGGGCATCTATGTATTTTTTTAAAATAGTATTATGTGCAAGGAACACACTCTACCTAAGATCAGGGAAATAACTTGTATCAATTCTCACATGTCTAACCATTGCACTGGAAGTGTAACAAGTGGAACAAAATAAGAAAAATATATTTTAAGATATAAAGATTATCTGTCCACATCTTACCCCTAGTTTTTCAGGTTTTGATTTATTTTACTCTTTTTGTTGTAAATTTGTAGAGGTTTTATGTGTGTGTGTGCATGTGTGTGTGTGTGTGTGTGTGTGTATATACCTGTTATTGTTGTTAGATGTTGTCAAGTCAGTTTCAACTTATAGAGACTCTATGTACAACAGAACAAAAACTGCCCAATCCTGTACCATCCTCTCAGTCTTTGCAATGCTTGGCTATGCTATGCTGGCCCATTTTTGCAGCAACTATGTCAATCCATCTTGTTGTGGGTCTTCCCTTTTTTCTTGACCTGCTTTACCAAGAATGATATCCTTCTCCAGGGACTGTTCCCTCCTGATAACATGACCAAAGTATGAAAAATGAAGTCTAGCTGCTAAGGTATATTCTAAGACAGATTTGTTCCTTCTTATGTCAGTCCATAGTACATTTGACATTCTTCACCAAAACCACAATTCAAATGTATCAGTTCTTCTATAGTCTTCCTTATTCTTTCCCCAGCTCTCCTTACTTACTGTCTCATTATCTGATATTTCATGTTTACAAAGGCACTCTGGTAGCATAGTGCCTAACACATTTGACTGCTAACCAGACGGCTGGTGGATCAAACCCACCAGCCACTCCTCAGAAGGAAGGTTGGGCAATCTACTTCCATAGTGATACTGCCTCAGAAACCCAAGGAGGGGTCACTGTGAGTCCAGTACAAACTATTTTGTGCATTAATAACATACGTCTGGCAGTAATGAATGCCAAGGTGTGAGACTATGATGACGAAGGTATGTGTCAAGTTCGCTGGGCCATGATTTTCACTGGTTTGACAATTGGGTAATGATGAAATTTGGCACTTAGGTAATGATGAAATTTGGTAATTAAGTGGTGATGTAATTTGGCAGTTATGTTATGGTGTAGTCACCCTCCATTTTGTGATCTGATGTGGTCATCCTCCATAACATGCTGGTTTCATTCACAATGCTGATTTTCACATAACAACCTGGTCTTTGGAATCTAACCATGTCAAAACTGAGAAGTGGGTGTATTTCATGTGTGTGTGTGTGTGTGTGTGTATTAGATCCTTGTCAATTCATTACAGCACTATTCACAATATTCACCATTGGGTGAAGGAATAAACAAAATGTACATATATGCAGTAGAATACTATTCACCATAAAGGAAAAGGAAATCTTGATCCATGCTACAATGAATAAATTTCAAAATCTTAAGCTCAGTGAAATAAGTCAATCACAAAAGGACAAATATTGCATGATCTCACTTACATGAAATAACAAGATTAGGTAAGCGTATACAGACTAAAGTTTATTAGTGGTTACCAGGGGTAAGCAGAAGGGAGAATAGGAGAAATTGTATAGGAAGCAGTGAGTGTTTCTTTATGGTAATAGAAAATTTGGCAATGATTATGG